AACAAAAACCCCCCAAAAAAAAAAAAAAAAACCAGTAAATGAAGACCAGCCAGCGGCATGGTGCTGCTTAAATTGCAGATCCAATGGCCTGAAAAACACTCCAGATGCATATGCACGCATGTCCCAAATCCGGAGAGGAAACTAGAGAAGAGCCTGCAGTGCAGCCTTCTCCACTGGTGGGGAGGGGGGGATTTCTCACATTGTCTCTCCCCACTCCCCCGGTAAGCAAAAAGACTTTATAGCAAAAAAAAAAAAAAAAAAAAAAATTAAAAAAAGGGCAGTACATGAAGCTTCAGACATTAGGAAAAAATGTTTTAACTTAAGTGGGGAGTTTTGCTAATCCCTCTTCCTTCAGGATAGTTCAGGTATCAACCTTTCCTGGAATCACCCTCCATTCTCCCAACCCCCTAAATACCCCCCAATTCCATAGTAATCTGTTTCTCATTAACCTGCCATCAATTTACCTCACTGTATTTTAATAATCTATTTAACCATTTGGTCTTTCCATTATAGACTAAAAGAGCCCGAAGAATAAGTACTGAATTATATTCGTCTTTTTATCCCTAAGTTTCTAGCACAATGACTGCCCATGAAAGACCTTCAAAAATCTTACGTGTCATAAAGCACTTCTCATCTTACTGGCCCTGTAATTATTAGCATTGTCAAAGTAACCTTACACTAGCAACATTCTCCCCTACTCAGATAGCTTTAGCAGTGCCCCAATACCTACCAAAAGCAACCTAAATTCCTTAGTTTGATGTTAATAATATTGTCCTTAATTTGACCCCAATTTTCTATTCTGGCACACCCTTAAATCTGTGCTCTACATTCCTACTAAACAAGCCTGCTCTATCATGCACAAACCTTCCCCTGATTTACTCTTGGCTCATTCCTGTTTCTACCTGTTAAAACTGCAACCCCATCCTACCAAGGCTTGACTAAAAAGCCTATCTTGTCCATTTAATTATCAGGGATCATTCTTTTCCCAGCTTTGTGTATTTCATAGGTATTCTGGGCATTTCTTAACCAAGACTTACTCCTCCCTATATATAATTTGCAGTATACAGACTGTTTAAAATACCATGGAGAGAGACCAGCATAATGGTTAGATCGCTGGACTCCCACGTAGTTGACTGCAATTCGAGTCCCAGACTCAGTAGCTTAAAACACGCCAGGCGCATGTGCATGTGTGCCCAAAATCCTGAGAAGAGAATGAAAGAGAAGGGATTGCAGCATGGCCATCCCCCCCAGGGAGGGCAGGTGATTTCTCTCTTTTGCCTCTGGCGAGCACCACACACCCCTATAGCAAAAATTTCTCATTTAAAAAAAATAAACCATGGAGAATATAAAAGAAAAATAACAATTTTAAGAATACAACTGATTGCAAAACGTTTTTTCTTTCTAAATATATTCAGATTACCCAGAAAAACATCAGAAAGAATGAAAGGCTGGTATTAGTTACTAAGTAGTATAAATGTAAATATATCTGATATTGTTGGGGAAAAAAACCATGAAAATGGCAGCTTTTAATTTTGATCATTCTGTTGCTTCATTTTTCTCTAGTTTGAATGGTACTAGATAACATACTATGGGTAGACACTATTAAGTAGTATTAGAAGTGTTTTGTCTTACATAAAAGAAAAAATTACATAATACTTAAGATAGTCCTGAAAAAATTACATAATACTTAAGATAGTCCCCCAACTATCAAGCTTACTACTATAGACTAGGTCTTATCACATGTCCAGAGATGGAAAACAAACTGAACCACACTAAAAAACAGTAGAACAAGCACAGAAAGGGATAGGTCTTCTGCCAGTACTTCAAGAATTCTACAAAAGAGGGAGCAGGGGGAACCAGCAGTTAGTGTAATGGCTATGTCGCTGGACTCCCACATAGTCGACCGCAGTTCGTGTGCCGGACCCGGTGGCTTAAAACTCACGCTGGGCGCGTGTGCGTGCGTGCTCAAGATCCCAAGAGGAGAATGGAGGAGAAGGGATTGCGGCGTGACCATCCCCCCTGGGGGGTGATTTCTCACTTTCTGTCTCTATGTCTGTCTCTGTCTGTCTGGCGAGCGCATGCGCCCTACATTGAAAATCTCTCCAAAAAAAAAAAAAGAGGGAGCAGCAGGTGGCATAGTGGTTGGGGTGCTAGACACTCCCACATGGCTGACCATGGTTCAAGTCCTGGACCTGGTGGCTTACTTTCTCTCTCTCTCTCTCTCTCTCTCTAGGTGTGTATGTGTGTCTCTGGTCAAAATGAATGAATGAATAAATAAAAATTAAATAATTCTTTAAAACAGTCTACAAAAGAGAAGCAATAGAAATAAAAGACAGATGGGGGAGTAAAAACCTACAGTGTAGAAAAACAAAGACTACTAATGTCACTATACTCTCTTTGTATGAAAATGTAAGTAAGTTATATTTAGGGGTGAGAACTGACTAAAAAATGATAGAGCTACAAAAGACATTGGAAATTATTCAAACCTATATATAAGTTCCACTTCTATCCAAGACCTAAAACCTCCTGTCCAAAATAAATTCCTTCTTGTCTAGTATAATCTGAATTTGTTCCAAAAAAGAAAATAATGAGTAACTTGATCCTTAGTGAGATTTGGTGGAAGAAACAGAACAAGCACATTTGTAGGAATTACCACAACTCTAGATACCAGATAAGTCCTTTCACAAAGCTTTTAAAAAGGGTTTTAAATAGGGCCAGCAGGTGGCATGGTCGTTAAGAGCTTTGGACTTCCACATGGCCAACCATAGTTCTAGTCTTGGACCTGGTGGCTTGCTTTCTCACTTTCTCTCTCTCTTTTTCTCTCATTTTGTCTCCCTCTGGTCAGATTAAAAATAAAGAAAGCTAAATAAAATAATTCGGAAAAAAATGGTTTTAAATGAACTTTAATTACAGGATGTCAAGAGAAAATTTATTATAATTTTCATGACTATTTTCCCCAAATTTGAATACCGTGACTATTTCTAAGTATCCTTGAGGGACCAGCAGTTGGTGTAATGGCTATGTCGCTGGACTCCCACAGCCGACTGTGATTCGAGTCCTGGACCTGGTGGCTTAAACTCACGCTGGGCACGTATGCATGCATGCCCAAGATCCCGAGAGAAGGGATTGTGGCATGGCCATCCCTCCTGGGGGGTGATTTCTCGCTTTCTGTCTCTCTGTCTCTGTCTTTCTGGCAAGTGCATGCGCCCTATAGCGAAAACCTCTCCAAAAAAGTATCCCTTGATCAAAAAACAAACAAAACTATAATTTATTTCAGCAAGGGAGTGGATCAAATAGCACTTTTGAAAACAGACATTCAGGGACCAGCAGTTAGCGTTATGGCTATGTCGCTGGACTCCCACGTAGTTGACCATGGTTCACGTCCCGGACCCGGTGGCTTAAACTCACGCCGGGCGCGTGTGCATGTGTGCCCAAGATCCTGAGAGGAGAATGGAGGAGAAGGATTGCGGCATGACCATCCCCCCTGGGGGTGATTTCTCGCTTTCTGTCTCTATGTCTCTGTCTGTCTGGCGAGCGCACACGCCCTATAGCAAAAACCTCTCCAAAAAAAACCAAAACAGACATTCAAATGGATAATGATGAGAAGGGGGAGCAGAATAGCTTGACATAAAGCCACCACTAGGTTTGGGACTTGAACCATGGTCTGCCAAGTGGGAGTCCAATGCCCTTAACCACCATGCCCCCTGGTGATCCCTGGAATATTTACTTTTACTAGGAACTAGGGAGACTACAGTAATCCAGGTAAGAGTGTCCACCCTGAAATTATCTGGGTGGGCCACATCAGTCAGAAAGTAGAAGATGTGAGCATAGTCACACAAGTAAAGCCAGAGTAGCAGAAGGGATGATAAGAAAAAGAGGTCTAGCCATTCCAGAATGGTGACCATTAGATAGTACAAGAGCTCAAAAGGGTGGTGAAGAGGAAGGATAGGAGGGACTAACGAAAGCTTGCCTTTTAAACCAGAGAATATTTACCATACTTCACCTCAAGATCAGAAGGGACACAAGCAGGACTGGTGAGCTTTTTGTTCAATACCTTCTCCACTGTAACCTACTGGTAACATGGTGCAGTGATCTCTTCACAGCATGAAATATCTGTGATGAACCTGCCTCACACTGAGACACTGGGAATCATGTCAGAAATAATTCTAGCATGATTTTTCTGATCTGATGCAAGAATTTCCTATACTAGAACCAGAAATACAAGAGAAAAATCTGATATATATATTGGGTCATCAGAAAAGTCACGTGTTTTTCTGTGCATCAAGATTTTTCTGATGATCCAGTATTAATGCCTTATCAGAGGTCTAATTACAAAGTTCTTAGATGTAAGGTTCCTATCTGAATACAGGTGAACTTCGCAAAGACAAAATGGAGTCCTGTGAGTTAGCTGATGGCATAGTGGTTACAGCACTGGACTCTCGTGGGTGACCACAGTTCGAGTCCCAGGTCTGGTGGCTTGAAAATCACACTAGGTATGTATGTATGCATGCCCAAAATCTCAAGAGAAGAATAGAGAAGGGCTTGCCACATGGCCATCTCCCCGGGTGGTGATTTTTCACTTTCCCTCTCACTGTCTCTCTTCAGAGAGTGCATGCACCCTAAGGCAAAAACTCTCAAAAAAACTTAAGGGTCCTGAAGAATCAGGAATAATCTGTGTTTGGGCCACAAGAGTTGGGCATCTGTGCAAGTTTGTTGTGTAGTAGAATAAGAGCTAGATCAAGTTCCAAAGTATCAAGTTTTATGACTTTATTTTTTTTGTTCACTTCCTTCCCCACTGCAGCTTGTAAACTACATAGGACACAGACTTAAAAAAAAATAAAATAAAATAAAAGTCACTGTATCTCCAGTGTGTAAATCACAGATTTCTCAATAAATATTTGTGAAATGTAGCTATTACTATATGCATCTTAGAAAACAGAACAGTAGTTTTCAAACTATGACCAAATAGCTTATAAAAACGACAAGGCCATGTTGAGAACTCTGCACCCTGACAGGTCTCTGCCCTAAATACACACTAAAAAGAACTCTACTATTCTACTCTGTTTTCTGGGATTGTATGTGTACACGATTTTGTTGGGGGGAAGGAGGCAAGGAAAGGTATCCACTTCTAAAAGAAACTCTGGAAATTACTGGATGAGAATCTTTCATGTTAATATAGTATAGAAAAAACACTGGTTCTTTTCATCTGCTTGAGTACCACATGATGGTTCTACATGGCTCTGATAAAGTCCCAAATTCTCGGAAGCAGGGCTATAAAATAGAGCAAATTAATTAAATAATTTCTAGTAAGATTCCATCAAATCCCAAGTTTATAACACTCTT